GCGAATATAATCTCAGGCTCCTGTATAACTCGCCGATGGTCGGATCTAACTTGTTCACGGTTTTCACTTCTGGTCTGAGCTTCTGGAAAGCTTCTGGAAAGCTTTATCTTCTTCGCCTTCCTCTGCCCACTCGGGAGCTTTTCCAGGCCAATATATTCTCACTTTAGTCAGTCCAATGCCACCCCGTAGCTTTTCCCTTGTAGCAATCGCAGCATAACTCACTCCCACTGTGACCGACATCTTTGCACTTGCGATTCTGCAGAGCTGTGCGAAAGAAACCCTAAGAACTCGAAGACGGTGGAGATCTTGAAACCGGGACGTTAACTCGCTTCTTTCTTATTGATTGTGATTATGAAGGAATATACAACAACAACTATTTATACACAACAGAACATAGATATTTCCTTTTTCTCTAACAAATAGGTTTAGGGCTTTTCCGTGTCATTGCCAAAACAATTGGAAACTTGTATTACACGTCACCGTAACTAGAGAGTAAAAAAGCAAAGAATTTTAGCTCTTTTTTATATGGTTACTTAAGTTCTGCTTATTTTGTGATGATTTATCAAAACCTTATACGACCACTGGGTTGAACATCCAAATCGATACGCAAGAATCATACAAGAGAATTGATCAAATACTCAAGTAATCTTAACACAAACAAAAGGAAAGTCCCTTTCGAAAAAAAAAAAAAAATCACATATTGAACGAATATGATTACAAAAAATTGATATGCAAGGGTGGTAAATGTGCCTTATAAAGCTGTTGACAAAAACAAAAAATTGATATGCAAGAATCATACAAGAGAAAGAAAAATTAAAAAATTGATCAAATATCGTCAAACTAGATTTCAAAAAATTGTTCAAATATTCATCGAGAAACCAGCTTTGCGTGAGTTGCAAAAGAATCTCACATGTACATCCCAACCACGAAAACATTGTTTGATTCTCTGGCAAAGTGTAGTCGCCTTTCGACCATTCATGTTTATAAATTTGGAATCTACTACATAGTCTACAAAGGCATAAACTTTGCAATCAGTCTCAAACGCTTCGTGGTATTCTCCAACACCTCGGATTTCAACACTTTGAAGAGTGTTCGTCTCAGGATTGAAGTACAAAACATAAAATGGTTTAGATGTATACTTCTCCGACAAAACAATCTCACCAGTAGCCGTCATTCCAACGGCGAAAACATTGTAGACACGGACTTGACTCTTCGGCAAAGTGTAGACGTATTTAGACTATTCTTGTCCCTCAACATCCTCTAGAACCCACACACACAACTCAATGGCATCACTATCATCATACGTCAAATCAATCCCACCTAATTTACCCTTATAGTTGATCAATTTAGTAGTATATGGATCACAAAAACATTCGGCATCAACAAACTCGAATTTGTGAGACCTAACATCAAAGCAAACTAACACATAATACACTCGATACGTTTTATCATTACCTTTAACCACTTCAGCTAAGTAATACAAAACCCCATTAATGCATATCCCTTCACACAAAGGCTCATGTGTTAAGCAACATGTGATCGGCTTCCACTCTCTTTTCCAGTTCCACATGGAGGTTAATGCGAACCTGGGTTAGGGGGTCAATGGTAGATAATTTAACCATCAGAATTTCTCCATGATGAGTTAGATGATAAAGGTTGTAACAAATTACAAATGTATGTCCAGGTTAAGGTTATGGGTGCTTATCATGTGCATGGTAATTTTTTTAAGGAAAAATCATTCTTAACTACACAAAGTAGCTAATATGTTACAAATCATCCCAAATATAGAAATATATTCTAAACTATACAGACTATTATATAATACATGGTGACATACACCAAGTATAGGTAAACATGTTAAACACTACAAATTGGTATTTTTTATAAATATTTATTAATTTGGGGGTCAATTTATAATATTTTTCATAAAAAAAAAAAACAGTTTTTATGAAAATTCAAAAGAACATACAAAACTTAACAAATCGAAAGAAAATCCATAAAATTTTGAAAATATAAAAAATATATATTAAATTTTAGATAAAAATTAAAATTACAGTTTCAACTCTAATTTTTATAGAAAATTTAAATTTGTAAAATCCCAAAATTTTAAAAATTACAAAAATGTATTAACCTCTAAAAGGTAATTGAATATTTAATGTATATAAAGTTCCAAAATTATATATTTTGAAACCATTGAATTTGTTAGACAAAAATAAACACAAGTTTTTAAAATATTGGTCAACAAATATAGTTTAAATTATATTGAATAAATTTCAATAATTTAGAATAAAATCTATAAACGACATATATATTACACTTTTTATTTGGAGAATATTTTTACTTGTGCCTTCGGTTCTATCCCAACATTAACTAGTGAATTTTAAATTTAGTTTAATTTTGATAATCTAACTTCTATCTTCACTATAAGTTGTTGTTTTAAAACAATAGTTTTTTTAGTTTTTTTAAAAAATTTTGTATTATTATAAATTTTGGTAATTTAAAAAATTAATTTGTTTCTGAAATTAAAATTGAAAATATAGCTAAATATTTATATTAACTTTCAATTTATTTATTTTTGTAATTTTGTTTTGATTTTTTTTGTTGTTTCTAAATTTTGTAGTTTTAGAAGCTTTCGGATTTTCCAAATTTAATTATTTTTTTTCCTTATATTTTTGAAATTTTATGGATTTTCATTTAATTTGTTAAATTTTGCAAGTTTTAAATATTTGTAGATTTTTCTTTTATGAAAATAATTACATATTGACCCTCAAATTGATAAATATTTATCAAAAGACACCACTTTGTAGTTTTTAACATGTTAACATATACTTGGTGTATGTCACCATGTATTATATAATAGTCTGTGTAGTTTAGAATACATTTCTATACTTGGGATGGTTTGCAACATATTAGCCAATATTTCGTGTAGTTAAGAATGATTTTTCTTTTTTTTAGTTGACTTTATATGATTTTTTTAATTGACCATATCAAAGCCTGCCTAATTTATTACTAAAAAATTAGGGTTTTCAGTATTTCACAGTATTAAATTGGTTTTTCTCAAAATATTAATTTACTATATTTTATATGGTCAAACTCATTTATCATTCGATTAAGCTAATTAGTTTAGAACAAAATGTTCTAGAGCGCGCATAACGCTCTTTTTGCTACTGTATCCACCACAACATTGGCCTCTCTAGAAATGTATAACAGAAAGAAATTGTGGTAAATAATAGGGATACAAATCAGATATCCCGAAGAGGTTTGTGGAGCTCAGTTGACATATCAACCGAATAAATTAGTTAAGCCTTTGAAAAGTATATCCTCGTGCCACTGCTTGGGACTTGGGAGAGACCCAACCTTATGGCCCACGCTTCAGCAGCCAAAGCAAAGGGTACATCTCATTTGTTGCCCTCGATCGCCTCCTCTTGTGGGTGGTTCGCATCGCAGTGGAAACACAACCTAAACCAGCGTTTAGGGACGAACTAAGCCAGGCTGCATCCATTATTTTGTGTTGGCGATTCATCATGTTTTGTGTTGGTAGTTTGGTGTGGAGCTCTAACTGGGCAGCTCTAAAGGCTTTAACGTCCATTATTGCTTTCGATACAAGTTACAACCTTTGGTCTCGGTTCTCAACCAATAATTTGTTTTTTTGCTCGTCCAAAAGCACCAACACAGCGACGGGTACAGAGGTAGGTTGCATCCTGTTGGTGGGAGATTCTTGAAGTGCTTCGTTTTCTGTAGAAGGTCTTGCATAGAGTTTCGTTCATGTACTCCTTGGGGATGATAGAAAGGAGCTAGATCCCAGCATTACTTATGTGAAGGATGCTTTCCGGCTTCTGCCACATTCCGCGGGCATTAACCGGTTATGCATTTACTGTTGCCTTCCACATGAAGCTTCTCACCTTGGGAGATTAATTCACAGTTACGGGAGGATATTTTTAAGGGTTCATAATTGTTGAAACCAAATTTGTTCTTTTTTAAAACTTATGGTTATCACTAATTAAAGCACATCGATAATTTAATTATGTAGCAGATGTTTATATATATGATAACATGATGAAACACTTAAAAATAAAAAAGTGGAAGAAGGTACATGATCAATTCATGGCACTTGAAGAGATAAATATGTGGACCTAGAAGGATGGGAATTCCACTTGAGGCTACTGTTTCAGAAGGAATTGGGGCTACGGGCTGGAGACTTCCTTCTCGGAGAACCAGAAACCATATGCTGCTCTCAGTCAGAAATGTTTATAACTCTTTAACCATTCCAACATGGTTCAGAGTCATACACATGGGGTTCCGAAGGTACAAGATCAAGCTTCTTCAACACTAAGACAACTTGGAATCTGCTCAGGCCTTCCTCCGAGGTCAAGCGTTGGAGTAAGGCAGTCTGGTTTCCCATAAACGTACCTAGTGTTGGTTTGATAAAGATCTAGTAACTATTTCTTTCTTTTTACGGCTTTTTATTTTTTTTTGGGCCTTAAAAAAACTTAATTAAAATTTTGTAAACCTCAAGTTCCTTTTGGTAATATAATTAACATTTTATCAAAAAAAAATATGTGGTTCTTCCCGTAGTCTTGGTTTTGGAGTTTTAGTTAGATCTTTATCCAAAGCTTGAAGCTTTGATCCTTTTCGTTGTAGGACATATTAGATTCATCATCATGAAAATTCTAGGTATTAGCCATCAGTTTCTTCTCCTCGCGTACATTCTTTTTGATTCTCTTGCATTGAAATTATGAGATGAGAAAATAATAGAGATTGTATTACAAAGATATTATTTTTATTTTTCCACAAATATAAAATAAAAATTAATCAACTTTGGCTTAAAAATTAAAATCAGATAAAACATACACATATTTATTAATAGTAACTACCACAACCAAATAATTTTGATAATGAAAAATCCGGTGCAATTTTTCTAGTGACGTGTAATAAATAGTGTGAA